CCCCCCTATTTGTCCCCCCATTTGTCCCCCCTTGAGCCCCCCTATTTGTCCCCCCTTGTGTCCCCCTATTTGGGTTGCCCGCATGGCCGTACGTGATGGAGTTCTGGTGCAGGCTCTCCAGCTCGTTCTGCTCCTCCTCAGTTATGGCCTTCTTGTCCAGGTTACGGAAGTGCTGCATGGCCGACAGGCCGCCGCGAGACGCCTGCTTGGGGATGTCCAGCTTCTTCACCAAGCTCAGGTCCCTGGGGCCCTTGTAGGAGTACTGGAAAGGGCAGCAGTCGTGACCCTAAAGAAAAATCACCACACACTGTCATCCGTTAATCCCAATTGTGGGTCTTTTTTTAAATTTCATGCATGAAATCATAGAGGTAAAGCAAGACTTTTTTCATACAACAAAAGCTATAAAAACACTTATTCTGTGCTTCTTATAGGGCATATTTATTTGCTACGTTTAATTTCCCATCCCAGGGAAGCTGCGTGTCACAGTTGTAGCACTTGGTGATGCTGAGGTGGTATAAATATCCCCAAGTGAGGACATGGTGCAGTGTAGGCATGGATGGTCCCATCCCAGGTAGGCGCAGTGTAGCAGTGAAAAGAAAAAACAGACTCCACACTGGCAACTTTTGACACTACAAACTGCCATCTGTTAATCCTGTGGCTCAGTTCCCTAGGTGGTGCCATTACACAGTGAAGGTCTAGGTTAGGGTTAGGGTTAGGGTTAGGGTCACTGTGGAATTATCACCATTCTCTGTAGAAAGCAAATAAAATTATGGCCTGAAAAGGCATATTTACAACCATTTCATCCAGTATAATGTTACTCCTTCTTGGAAGTGCATTATTCTATCCAGGGGACGTCTTTATAAACATCTGACAGGCCTCTTTTAGACCAGTGTTTCTTATCCTGGTCCTGGGGAACCCAGAGATGGTCCACGTTTTTGCTCCCAGCTGGGAGGGAGCAAAAACATGGACCATCTCTGCACTGGGTTGAGAGACTGTTTTAGACTAGCAGGCGCTGGACCAATGCGCGTGGATGTACGAATGGTCCCCGGGTTACGGTCTTACCGCCGCCACTATCTCCGACTCACTGACGAACAGGACGCTCAGCTGGGGGAGGAGCTCCGTGGCCAGTTGGGTGACTCTGGGAGACACGAGGGGAACATCGGTGCTCACATACAGCTAGGATACTGTTTTACTGACAATCATACCATCACCTGAGTGGTGATAACAGCGTGAGCCATACACGACGGGCTCGCAGCACGCTGACTAAGGACACAGACTCGTGTGCACACTCACTCTTTACCACCGGGGGCGTCAACCACACCGATGCTGCTGTTGTGGCTAACCCAAGCCAGGCGGTCGCCGGACGGAGAGAAGCTCACGCCGTGCACCCAGCCCCCGCAGTCCCTTTGCTCCAGGAGCATCTCCCCGAACGGCATCTTGGCCCCCCAGGGTGTGGGTCCTGGCCTCTCTTCGATGTCCTTGATGTAGGCGGAGAAAATCCTGTGGTGGAACCACAGCGGAGGGGGGAAGGCGATTAAAACCGCCGTTTTATGGTCTCCCAAATACACATTTTACCTGATTCACCCCAGAATGCATTGACCATTTCTACTCTACAGTGTCATCACTGAAGGCCAGTGACTTCGCTTTTTGAAACACTGATCCAAGGCACTGTTTACATGCTTTGAGGCTTTTCCACATGTGAACAATGGAACTGGAATTTCTACTGCTCATCGCTGAGGAGCAGCCTTTATGTGCTGAAGCTGAAGCTGATGGGAAGGTAGATAGTGCAGATGGAATGCATGATGTGTCAAAGAATGTGTGGAATGCCTAATGAATGGATGGGAAGATGGCTGCCAGTTCTGACCTGCTCATGGGAATTTTGCATACACAAAAATGTTCTGAGGGCAGAATGAGAAATGATTGGTTCAGAGAGATAACCAATGGGATTATACAGAGGGTGGGGTCAAATAACTAGAGGAGGTGGGACCAACCAATGAGATGTCTTGATCCTGCCTCCTCCAGTTCCTTGTACCCATCTCCTCTACATTCTGATTGGTTACCTCTCTGAACCAATCATTTTTCATTCTGCCCTCAGAACATTCTTGTGTAAGTAAAACTCCCACTGGCTTCTGACCTGCAATGAAGGTCTGCAGAGCCAGCCGCCAGTAACACATTGTTGGGATGCCAGTCCAGGCTCAGCACAGTGGAGCAGATGGTTTTCTTGATGTGTTTACTGAGCCACCTAGGGGACAGAGGGCAGGGGTGGGTCAAAAGGGCAAGGGTCATAAGGTGACTTTTGTAGAGCAGTAATAAAATGAGCGAACAGTATCCACCCAACACAACTGTCCTGGAGACACACTATTGTAAAGTGCTTCATTGCACAAGTTCATCAAACTTGCTGTTCCTGAGGAAGCACATAACTGGAATAATTCTATGACTGGATGGGGTTCATAGTTCATAAATTAGCCAACTGGAATACAGTGCTCTCCGTGACTTAGAGCACTCACCAGTCATTCTCTTTCTCGAAATAGCAAACGGAAATCAGCTTGGCCCCGCTGCCCAGGGCGAACTTGTTCTCCTGCGGGGACCACTTGACACAGGTGGCAGCCCTGTTGATGCGAACCAGCACCAGTGTGGGTTTCCACACGCCCTCCTTCAGCGTCCACACGTAAGCGTTCCTGTCCGAGGCACAGGTCACTATGCGGTTGGACTCTGGTGCCCAGTCAATGCCTGTAAGCATGAACACATTGCAACGTTGAATGTCATTATTGACATATAGTGGTCATTAGCAAACCAGTAGGGGCTGGGTTTCTCATCAGGGCCCTGTTGTAAATGTTTCTAGAAGTATCTGTACAAGTGGATGATATCTCAACCAGGGCTTAAATAAACATCGTGTAACTGCACCCTGGATGATCAATCTCCTAAACGTCACAACACTGAACAGAAGATGGAATTGGAATTGACATCAGTGTTTTCTGGGGGTGTCTGACCCCTTTGTATCTGTCTCGTGTCACATGATCATGCAGTGATTTACTGCAGTGCATGCTGGGAGTTGGGTTCTGTGACTTCAACAGGCCACATTCTGTCTCTGTTACCCGGGACTACGGCAGACGGAAGCGCTGCCATACCTGTGATGCGGCCGCTGTGCTCGGTGAGCTCATGGATTTTGATCCAGTCCTTCCCGCTCTTCTGGTAGATGTGCACCTCACTGCTGTTGGGGCTTATGCCAATTTCTGTAGGAGGAGTTTGGTGTCATTCTAGGGGCCAAGGAGGGATTTCAGTGACCCCTTTTCACTAAGGGGACGAGGGGCAGTGTTGTGTGGCTGAGCCTCTGTGCCTGTGATCAGAACGTTGCTGGGTTCAAGCCCAGCCTTGGCACATCTGTGGGCCCTTAACCCCCAGCTCCCTGGGTGCCGCAACAGGTGGCATCCCTTAGCTACCAAGCTCGCTCTTACTGACAGAGAGCACGATGGGGGAAGTGAAAAGAGAATTTCCCTACCAGGACCAGTAAGAAGTATATTTAACAAAACATTTAAAAAAACGAAGCTGACTGTCTTCTATAACGGTTAACCCAGCTATCTCTAAAAAGCTTGCTGGGCTCTTTGCAGGATGTACTGTAATCACCTCGGTCATTAGATAAACAAGTTTTGTTTCTCCACTTCTTTCCACAGAAAGTAGATTAATGATAAATAAACAGACGTGTGAGGGAGGGGCAAATGTAAGATACGTGTTATAGGTTTCCCTGGTTTCATGACTGCAAGCAGTTCCTGAAAGTAAGAGGTACTGTGCAATCGTAATAGAGATAAGGAGCACTTAGACACTGGAGCAGGAAGGAGATGAGGGGGGGGGGGTATAAAATGCATATAAACGCATTAGCAGCATCCTGGGCAGCAGTACGACTGGGCTTCTTGCTGCAGTGGGCTGGGGTGGCCAGCTGGGAGTGGCCGGCTAGGGGTGTCCGGCGGGGGTGGCCGGCTGGGGGGCTGGGGGTGGCCAGCTGGGAGTGGCCGGCTAGGGGTGTCCGGCGGGGGTGGCCGGCTGGGGGGCTGGGGGTGGCCAGCTGGGGGTGGCCGGCTGCACGGGCAGCCTGCAGGCACGTAATTGCCCCATGCAGAAGCGCGACAGAACCAGTTTGCACTTGCGTGTGCGGTCTTTGTTCCAGGCGTGGCAGGACACCGGCTCCAGTCCGAAGCTGTAGAGGGACATGTTTCGACAGAGACTCCCTGGAATGTTGTGCTGTTGGAGGTTTTCTTCTCCGGGACTTTTAAAGCCTTAACACAAGGAAGATTGGAGTTGGGGGGAATTATTGACAATTTTTTCCATGTTTCTTTATTCTTGACTACTGAAATGTTTACAAGTATCAATAAGAAAGAAATATCAGTAAGTAGTAAATTAACAGATAAACATTATATTCACACAGTAATAATACAGTAATTATCATGTTCACGCAGTGATAGTAAATCTTAGGTAGTAATTTCTTGTGCCTTGTGATGTAAAGTGCTTTATAATAACCTATTAGTAATATACCCAGATTTTAAAAATTAAGTATTCAGGTTCTGCATGTACAAAATAATCAAATGTTCTGGTTTAGAAGGCGTTTCAGGCACCGAACAGAAGCTTTCAATACACATTTTTCTAATGATGGTCTTTTAGAGCCCTTGAAAATTCCTCGGAACTAAACTTTCTCCCCTACACACTCACAAAACCCAATCCTGTAAAGACAGTTTGTTCAGAGTAACTTTACAGTAATGAAATGCACGCTTCTTTATACCCCTGCTCAATCACAGAGGGTGCTCCTCTGCACTCCCGACAGAACACACCCTGTCATGCAGTAAAGGTAAACAGCAGGGCTGGAGGAAAAGTGCATCTGTCAGGAATCCCTCTTACCTTGCTGGGTGTCGGGGTGCAAGCTCAGCTCTCCTCTTCACTGGGAGTGGGTGATTCAGTTCATGGACTCTGGGCAGTCGACACAAACTGAACTAACCACGGCAAGCAGAGGCTCCTGGTTCTTGATCAGAGTGGGGAGTGGTCCGTACAGAGGCTGGCAGGGAGGGGGGTAATGGGTGTGGTTTTCAAATAACTCCCGGGTGAACACCTGGCATTGGCCCACTGTTTGTCTGGTTAAATTCACCCGCAGGGCTCATATTCACAGACAACCAATCAGAAATGAAAGTTATTACTATGACGCTACCATAAATGTCATTATCTGCACATTATTCTTTGCTTTCTTTCTGGACAATGTCCTTGGCTCTTGCGGCAAACTAATTAAGTACAAACGCTACTGTCTAAAAGGGCAATAGGCTCATTAATTATATGTGTTCATTGGGGTTTTAACATGTCAGTGTTAAAGCTTAAGGGCACTTAAAATTCTTCATGGAAAATTTATGAACTGACGTTTCATGCCGTTCAGTGTCTGCAAGGGGGGCTAGAGCAAGTACTGCACAGGCCGATGTCATTTTGCCTGAAGAATCATTTACAAGTATAAGCAGTACGATGTAAATCGAGTGAAAACTTATATGAAGGGTTCTAAAGAAGAGACAATTTTTTATTTTAAATTCAGTTGTATCAACGTCCTGCCACTTGTGGCTCTGACTGTGCTATGTGTTTGCAAGTGTTGGATTATCTTTAAACAAATCATCAGGCAGACAATATTTTTACGTGCTGCTTTTGAACACACTCCCATTCTAAAACACTGCACTACGGAGCGTTTACCGTTAGGCCAACTAAAAAGTCCGTTTCCGTGTCTAATATTTATTCTCTTTCCCCTTTAAAGTTGTTTAGAGTTACATCTTAATCAGTGAATGAGGCACATTGACGTCATCGGCGGTCTCTGATTGGTCCTGAGTAGTTTCCGGTTGGACTACCGCTCGCGAGCTGTGAAAACAGAGAAGGGGACTTTATATCAGTGACAGTTTCGAGAAGGTCGTACACTTTCTAAAAAAAGCGAAGCGACAAGGGTAAGCAGATGTACACTTCCTTGTTGATTCTGCCTTCAAGAAGTCGGCTTCCATTCCGCTAGTCGCGCTGTAAATTTGGTATCTCGTGTTCAGTCGCTAACTAGTTGTCATAAGTTGCTTTGCATTACCAAGATGGCGCCCGAATAAGACCATCCGTTTCGAAAAGGCCTCTATAGCCAGTGCTCTCGGTCGTGTTCAGCAGTCGACTCGACTACATGTATGAATATGTCTACATGCATGTGCGCGTAGTTAGTCAGAGAGCTTAACTTCGCCGCGCTGTCGGACAATAACAGACGTGTTGGGGCTTCGGAATGACAGCTCGCTCGGGCTCGTGCCGTCAGCTGGCTCCGCGCGCCCGACGCGAGCGTACGTACGAACGGCGTGGGTCGAGCTGACGGAGTGTCGGGCTTGTGCGACATCGAGACCGCTTTTAGCTAAGACTGCAATCGATTTTTTTGTTTTTTGAGTTTCGCTTTACACAGCACAGGTTTTGCACAGCAGATGCCACACGAATTTAGCTTTTCATAGCCCACGGTCATGCTGCCCTTTGATCGCGCTGCACAAATCACTATATTGTGGATGTAGATTCTTGAAATCCTTGATGCCCTTGAATAAGAGTTTTGGGTCTGTGTTGAACTCGTGTATAAAGGAATCACAAAAGCCTCCCAACAGAGTGTCAGTGGTGCAGATTGTCCGCTCTCCTTCTCGAGTTTCTAATAGCCTTGACTTGCATCAAGCATTGGGAGGTATTTGAGAGGTGGTGCTTGTAGCCTGTGATTCTATACTCTGTAGGTGGGTGTGGCACGTGGAAGGTTACTTCCAAGGCAGTCTGTGAAATGGACCATTTCATTTTGCACACTCTGCTGTTATTCTTTCTTTTTCACATTTCCTTTTGCTCTGTTTTCAATCTCACCTTTACTGTATGTGCTTGTGTTGACAGCCATAAATTCTTTTGTTAGCTTTTTTCCTCACATTTGAATTACCTGTGTTGCCCGGGTGGGTGTCTCTCCCCCTACCCCCCCCCCCCATTTCCTCTTTGTGTTTCACTTCCAAGAGATGCGTTTCCTTAAACAGACATCTTCTTACACTCTGCTGTCTGGTGAAACGCAGACACCTGTGTTTACCCCTGTTACTAACAGTTTCGGTGTGCCTTGCCTGTCCTGCACTGCTTGGCTGTCCCAGCAACCCCCCTCTGCCATCCACATTTTTAATGGAAGTTGTTTTCTTTCGTTTCCCAGCTTGCACTGCGTCTGACTGCGGCTGCATGACGCTTGCTCTGTCACATGCCTTTTACCATTCAGTTTTTTTTTTCCTTCCACTCACCCTGTTTGCCTTTCTCATGGTTCCTGTCTGTGTTTCACCATACTGGTGAGGCTGGTTGTATTTTCCTGACAGGGTTACATTTTGTTGCTCACCTTCGAGTTACGGCTTTTAGCAGCCATGTAAACTTGCATGGTTTCGCTCAGAGTTTCTGGCCAGTAGTTTACTGGTCGGTCGTCCATGCTTTCTGCACATGAAAGACAATCTTGGCACCAGTTTCCCAGCCAGACCCCGCACTCGGTTACCTAGGCAGTGATCGTGCCCCTCCTTTCTGCAGGGTTACGGTGCATCCGGATCCTTTTAGATTGTCGTTTTTGGTTTTGAATTCAGCTGATTGCACAAGAACCCAGATGGCATGTTACAGTGTGTATGGCCTGACCCCCCCTGCCCGCCCCCCCACAGCTGCTCTGTGCACAGCCTTGTTCTCTCGCCACAGACCCCGGGCACAGCGAGCCATGGCGTGTGGGAGCGGAGACGGTGACCGCAGCCTGCGCGAGTGCGAGCAGTACGTGCAGCGGCACGGCATCCAGCAGCTGCTGAAGGACTGCATCGTGCAGCTGTGTGCCGCCCGCCCCGAGAGGCCTGTGGCCTTCCTGTGCGACTACTTCCAGAAGCTGGAGAAGGTTGGTTTCCTGGGGGTGGAGACCCCCACATGGGGAGGGGCAGTGGGCGTGGCAAGAGAAGCTGATTGGCCACTCATGTAACCACCACCCAGTGTGTTCGCAGGATGTCAAATGAAAGAAACTTGTGCTTGTAGACAGTCTGTAAAAGGGTAGTGTGGTGAAATCAAGAGTCTTCACATGCAAACGTCCTTCCTCACTTATTGCCATGCACAGACTTTGAGCTACGCATCTGTGCTGAGTTAGCGGCTGTGAAACGCATGCGTGTTTGCATGTGCGTGTCTGGGGTGAAGCAGCCCTGAACGGCGTGTGTGTCTCCACAGGAGGAGGCCAGGCAGATCGCCGGGCAGCAGAAGGCGAACTCTCGCTCGGATTCGCGGGACGATGAGATTTCCCCGCCCGTGAACCCTGGGGTCAAAGCCCGGCGCGGGGCCATCAGCGCCGAGGTCTACACGGAGGAGGACGCCACGTCCTACGTGCGGAAGGTGATGTCGCCCAGCGATTCTCGCACAATAACTCGTCAGTTGGCTGTCTGGTGCGGAGGCGCGCTGGGTGTGGGTCTGAGCTACAGGCTGGACGCTGCCTTCATGTTGCGTTCAGGCAGACTTATCAGTGTACATTCGGGGGATGTGTCCCTACCTCCTATTAAAGTGTCATAACATGTTTCCAGGTCATTCCAAAGGACTACAAAAGCATGGCTGCTCTGGCCAAAGCCATCCAGAAGAACGTGCTGTTCTCACATCTGGATGACAACGAGAGAAGGTACTCCGCAGTGGGTTTGTTTTATGAAGAGCCATGCTATCGCCCCTAGTGCTTCACAGATATATGTATACAAACACACACTGCGCACTGTGCATGAAGACAGGAAGTAAGAGTACAGACGCTCCCCGGATTACGAGGGTCTGCATTACGGTATTCCGACTTTATTCAATAAATTACATGATATTCATCGCTAAATAGGCTTTGTGCTAATAATTTTGCCCAACTGTAGGCTAATGTAAGTGTTCTAAGCATGTTTATGGTAGGCTAGGCTGTGATGTTTGTTAGGTGTACTGTATTAAAATGATACGATATTTTTGCTTTACGATAGGTTCATCAGAACGTAACCCCATCATAACCGGGGGAGGCTATAATTAAATGACCCTTTCGATTGGGTTTGAAGGGAGGGAGCATCCGGGCGGGGGGGGGGGGTGTCTAGGGTAAAGTGATTTCCAGCTACCCCCCTTGGCTGACCAGACGAGTGGAGTTACTACCGATGCTACATTGACTGTTTACTGCAGACTGTTTGCGTAATGTTATTGTAAATTTTCGTTGCAGTGATATATTTGATGCCATGTTTTCGGTCACCTACATCGCCGGGGAGACCGTCATAAAACAAGGTGATTTTTATTGCTGTTTCCCCCGGGACTGTAATGCCAAACATTTGTAGTGGTATTTTCTTCATTGCTTGACCTTTTTTCCCAGGTGATGAGGGCGATAACTTCTACGTCATTGACCAGGGAGAGATGGATGTAAGCCACTGCCCATCTCATACTTACAGATATTAGTATCTCAGAACCTAAGGTGTTCATCCTCACCATAGGCGGACATTTCAGGTCCAGAAAGTAAAAAATCCAAACCAGGATTTTGTTTCAACCAATCAGTTGAATATACAGTCACAGTCACAGGGTACTCAACTGGTTGGTTGAAACAAAATCCTGGTTTGGATTTTTTACTTTTTCCTCACACCTTTTACCTGTGCGCCCCCTGGTGCCCGTGAGGTGTATTTGTGCTTTGAAAGTGGGCGGGGTTTTTAGGTTCACTGGCACTTTTTGGGGGGTGGGGTCAGGCAAGCAGCACTGAAGAGCGGGTGTGGTGTTCCTACAGGTCTATGTCAATGGCGAATGGGTGACCAGCATCGGAGAGGGGGGCAGCTTTGGAGAGCTGGCGTTGATCTACGGCACCCCCAGGGCGGCGACGGTGCGAGCCAAAACTGACGTGAAGCTGTGGGGGATCGACAGGGACAGTTACCGGAGGATCCTCATGGTAACTGCCCCCTCCTGCACCTCACCAGACACAAACGCTATTCGAGTGGAAAATGTGCACGTTGCAATGGAATGTGTACAGTGGTCTTGGGATGCTTGTTTAATTCAGTAAAAAATATTCCAAATTTATTGGTTTTGTAACAAAAATCATTACTTGATTGATTTATTTACTGCTGGTTTCTAACGTGATATGCATTTTTGGTGGTTTTAAGTAAAACATCCATTTGAAATGGTAATAAATTTAAACCCAAATTATCTTTGTAAAAGAGCTGTTCTTAGTTAAAAAGTCTATTGACAAGCAGCCTCATTGGGGGCTTTTTAAATTAGTAACACCTTTGCAATGACATAAAACGCCAGACATTTCTGTTTAGTATCCCTCTGGGAGCCAGTGACTACAAGCGCAATTAATAGCAAAATGGCAAGAAGAGAACTGAATGAATCAGCCAAAACAATTTTGCCAGTTAATAAAAAGAAAATGTCTGAGCCGATATGTTACTCACTGCTTGACAGTGGATTTTTGTCATGAAAGCAAAAATTGTAGCATTTGGAATTAAGCAAGCTTTCCAAGACTTTCTTTGATCACTGTAGGTGTAGCATAACACTTGGCTTTAAACTTTAATTTTCAGGGAAGCACTTTAAGGAAACGGAAGATGTATGAAGAATTCCTTAGCAAGGTGTCAATTTTAGGTAAGGCCCCTTCTCATTCTGGTCTGTTACCTTATCGGGCTCCTCGAGTCTTTGCTAGAATCCTCCTCTGCATCTGTAGGGGCATTTTCCCAGGATGTGAGCTGAAAGACCATTAATGGATGCTTTCAAATTGTGGGG